CAAAATTAATTCAGTTAAATGAAACAGAGTGAAATGAATCAATCTGTAAGTGAATAAATTCTTCACCAAACTCTAAAAAGTTCACTAGATTCAACAAAACAATATGGTCGTTAGGCACAATGTTAAGCTGTGAGAAATACAGAGATGAACAAAATACAGCCCTTCTCTTTAAGTGTTCCTATCTGGTAGGGGAGGCAGATAGAGACAAGAGTATCCTCCAATCAAGCAGACAATGAGAAGTGCACAGAATACGAAAAGGAAATGAGAGAAAAATTAGTCCCTGGTGGCAGGACCCGGAAGGCATTTTTGAAAGCTAGTATCTGAGATTGGCCTTGAAGAGTTGCTGAGATTTAGAGAAACAGGCAGTTGGCTGTAGGCATAGGGCAGTTCTGTATTGTTGCTGCTTAGTCGCTTAGTTGTGTCCAACTCTCTTATAACCTCAGGGACTGTAGCCCACCAGGCTCCTCTGTTTCTGGGATTTCCCAGGCAAGAATACTGGAGTGGGTTGCTGTGTTCTTCTGAAGGGGATGTTCCCAACCCAGGGATCGAACCTGCATCTCCTGAATTGAAGGCGGATTCTTTACCACTGAGCCACCTGGGAAGCCCAGGGCAGTTCTGAATAGCATAGCCATGTCAGATGGACCTTCCTGTAACCTTTATGGAAAACTGTAGGGATAGTAAAGACTCCTTTTCTTTCTGATTTCCTTGTTACCCTTCTCATTTTTCAAGTATTATTTTGCCTCTGGTTTATTAATTCTACCTCCTGGTGCCCCAGCTGATTTCTTCCAGGAAAAGTTGCTTATTAACATTTCTATGGGGAGCACCTCCTATTCTATCACTCTTAACTAATGGCTGGGACAATGGGGTTGGCTGAGAGAGGAATTTTAATCCCCTCCTGTGACTTATCTATTTTCTGATTGAGAAATCTAGGTCTAAAGTCACAGACAGCTGCCCAGTGAAATCATCCTTAACATTAAAATGATAATAAAGACATGTTTCTCAATTTTTATAATATTATTTATGTAATATGAAAGTAGTGAAAATCAATTTCATGATTACAAATAATTCTAAAGATACCTCAGATACCACTTGAATGCAAAAATACCTGGCTAGTCTGGGTAAGCTATGAATTAGAACGGTTGAAGAGGGACACTTTCTCAAAACCATAGCATCAAAGGACATTTGATGTTAACTAAGGCTTCCCTGGTGGCTCAGATGGTAAAGCACCTGCCTACAATGCAGGTAGACACGGGTTTGATCCCTGGGATCAGAGGAAGATCCTCTGGAGAAGGAAGTGGCAACCTACTCCAGTATTCTTGCCTGGAAAATCCCATGGTCGGAGGAGCCTGGTAGGCTACAGTCTATGGGGTCGCAAAGAGTCGGACATGACTGAGCGGCTTCACTTTTTTTCTTTCTTTCACTCACTGATTGTATACTGCAGGGGAAAACCAAATAGCACGTGCTGATATATGACTCTGGATGAATATATATTTTATATTACATACCAATATATTAAGCTGATGGATTGTGTATCCTTTCTCTAGTTAAGCAAACTACTCACATTGATGTTACATGACTGATGTCATTTGTAAAGTCCATAAGATGAACCAGTCACCATGGTATAAACTACCATTATTTATGTAGAGTGACAGAAGAAATGGATTTGTCAATCAAATTATTGGTAAAATGGAGCCCAGTTTGGCTTCTAAGGTGATGTAAGACACAGCATACTTAAATTCAAGAGATACTCAAAATCCTGGCAAGGAAAAGGATGTGAGAGAATAAGGAGGAAAAAAATCAAGTTTACAGATAAACCTATAATTTCCAGGCATTTTTTTCCCTTATTGTATATTTAATTAATTATCTTATTTCTTCATACCTGCTTTTACTCAAAGTGCATTTCCCTATTATTAGTTAATTTTTCTTCTGGAACAAAAATAATATTAAATTTCACATCAAATTTGTCATGCACTTAAATTGTCCATTAGAGAAATTGATGTCTCTTAGCAACACTTATTCTCTTAATGCTTCCAAACCCTTCTGATTACACAGCAAAATGGAACTACTGACCCCAAAGTCATATGCATAATTAAATTTTACAGAGGACTCAAATTAGAAAAAAAAAATTGAGGTATGCAGAGATTTTTCTGGACAGGTTGATGAAATTTTGATAGCTATGAAAAACCATTCTTAATGGCTGCAAGAGCATAGTTCCCCTATTCAATCCAATCACTTGCATGATGTGTATAATTCTAACTAGCAGTATGACACGCTTACTGCACAGTCAAGGTATTGTTTAGGAGGAAGAGGCTATACAGAACAAAGGTACATCCCAAAATATTTGGAGTGAATTGTCTGAAGGGTGATTTTTAAAAATTTTTATCTTTAATTGGAGGATAATTGCTTTACAATGTTGATTTGGCTTCTTCTGTATAACAACATGAATCAGCTATAAGTATACACATATCCCTTTCCTCTTGAGCCTCCCCCCACCACCCTATGAAGGGTGGTTTATACCTTGATTGTCTGGCCAATCGCTGATGGACAAAGCAAGTCCTACCAACCTGGAAACACAAACTAAGTAGGGTCATCAAATGAAATTTGAGAGTCTGGATCTCTCTTGATTGGTATTGACTATACTGAGGTGCTCATGCTCATTGCTCAGTCATGTCCCACTCTTTGCGATCCCATGGATTGTAGCCTGCCAGCCTCCTCTGTCCATGGAACTTTCCAGGCAAGAATACTGGAGTGGGTTTCTGTTTCCTACTCCAGTATTGAGGTGAGGAGAGGTTGATTCTGACTGGTAGGTGATAAGTTTCCACCTGCCTCAGAGTGGTAGTTTGGGAGTAAGATGATGAAGAGGTCAGTCCAGAAAACTGATGTTAGGCCAGCCTTAGGGTTCTTAGGGAACAAAGTAGAGCCTTATAAACAAGAAAGCCGTGGCAAAGTCACAAAACTGTATCTTGATTTTGCTTTTGTATTCCCCTTGCTTATTCATTTCCATTCTTTTCTTTTAGATCCTCCTTGGTAACAGCATAAAGATTTTGTGAACATTCCACTTTCTCATAGCTAGAGCCAAGGGAAAAGATCTGTGTCCTTGTCTGACCCAGAGCTTTAAAAGGAAGTGGTATACTCTTGGGTGACCAGTATGATCATGATACTGGTAAACGAAGAGAGAAATGCCAGGTGAGAGGTAGAATTCAAGAGGAAGGAATAGGGGCCAATTGATAAGCTGCCCCTTTTAACTGTGAAATGCTTTCCAGAGGCAAAACCTGGAAGGGGTCTTAACAAAAGACCTTGTCTATGAATGCTGTTCTTTCCTCAGCATAAGAGGGAGTGTCTGTCATATTTACTGGAGAGGGACATCAGTGTGATGAGGCTACATATAAGGTCTTGGCAAAAGACACTAACTCTGCAGTCCTCCTGTCCACACCCTTCTGCAGGAAGGAGGCTGCTGGCTGTGGCATTCATGAAGGACCCCATAAGTCACATTTGCACACTTCTAGCTCAATCACTCATCATGAACATCTACTTCCCTGGTGACTCCAAGCCCAATGCCATGTATTCAAAGTCAACAGTAATCTGTTAGCTAATTGTTTTGGTTTGAAGCATAAGGGCAGGACTGAAAGCTAAGCATTCAAATATAAGGTCTTGGCAAAAGACACTAACTCTGCAGTCCTCCTGTCCACACCCTTCTGCAGGAAGGAGGCTGCTGGCTATGGCATTCATGAAGGACCCCATAAGTCACATTTGCACACTTCTAGCTCAATCACTCATCATGAACATCTACTTCCCTGGTGACCCCAAGCCCAATGCCATGTATTCAAAGTCAACAGTAATCTGTTAGCTAATTGTTTTGGTTTGAAGCATAAGGGCAGGACTGAAAGCTAAGCATTCAGAAATATATGTTAAATGGAGAAAGGGTGAGAAAGCAGACTGGAAGAGCTGAGGCTGCAGCAGAGGGAGAATTCTAGAAAGAAAGAGAGTGAATGAATATGCTCAGGTTTGAAGGCATTCATTTAAAGGGAATTTAAGTATGCCGAAGAGGGGGTTCTTGATGGTAACAGGATGATAACCACATCTGGTGAACAAGAAAGGAATAAGGGAGAAGGCTGGAAATGTCTTGGACATGGAAATCAAAATAATGAGAAGGTCAGAAAGGAACCAAGATGTACTAATTACCTATCATGTGCCAGGCATAATTCTTCTGAATCATCTCATTTAATCTTCAAAATGTCTAGCACAGTGTTCAGCATATAATAGGTGCTCAAAAATAAGTTGAGTATTTAATATTAAATCAGTATATGAGCAGACAATCTAAGAGAAGAATCTGTTATCCATCACATTTTACAGATAAGAACCGGAGGCCAAGAAAGGTTAAGAAACTTGCCCAATGTGACACAAATAGAAGCATAAGCAATCTGCTTTCAAAACCCAGGGGACTGAAGGAGGAGGGTGCTCTGTAAGCGTCTGGCAGGGAATCTTGAAAAGGGTGTGGTGCTTGGGTGTCTGCCAAGGACTGAGATGGAGGAAGAAAGAAGGAAGGGCTGGGTGAACCAGGCTAGGGAGGTGGAGAAGGGGTAGAGATCACTCTGTTTTGGGGGAGGACCTGCCCTGCAGCAAGGCACCAAGACTCTGGCGTCAGCTGAGCCGGCAAAGGGCAGCACCCAGGCTAATGAAGCCGGTGGCTTGGGTGGGGCAGAATGGACGCAAAGCCTGTGAAGAGACTGCAACGGTCTCTGTTGGGCAAGCAGGGACTTGGGGTGGGGCGGGGATGGGGAAAAGATGGCTGAAGTGGTTAGTGAAAGACTTCAGCAGGATGGGATGGATAACAGCTTTCACAAAAGAGTCAAAGAGCAGTCGGCCGGGAGTTGGGGGAAGGAGGGGGTGTGTTTTGGAATGGGAGGGGGAGGCTGCCAGGGATGCCTGCGATGCGGAGAATCTATGGGAGAGGGTAAGGATGACCAGCCCCGAGGCCTGAACTGTGGACCGCGTCTCACCTGTAGGAGCTGCTCACTGCACTCGCCACCTCCTCGCGGATTTGCCTGTTGAGCGCGTCGGCCGCCGCACGCCCTCTGCCCGCCTCGGGGCCAGTGGCCTGGACCTGGTCCTGAGCCGCGGGCAGCGGCGTCTGCTCCTGCCCCAGCGCCTCGGCGCGCCGCACCATCCAGGCCGGCCCGGGTTTCTTGCGAGTGTCGCGCTCATCTGCACCGGACGCTTTTCCAGCCGCAAGGACACCTGTTCCACTAGGGGCCGCCTCCTGCTCCGGGGCTTCGGCGGCCTGCCCCAGCCAGTGCTCCTGGCTCTGAGGCACCTCGGCGCGCCGCACCATCCAGGCGGGCCCGGGTTTCTTGCGAGTGTCGCGCTCATCTGCACCGGACGCTTTTCCAGCCGCAAGGACACCTGCTCCGCCAGGGGCCGCCTCCTGCTCCGGGGCCTCGGCGGCCTGCAACAGCCAGCGCTCCTGGCTCTGCGACACCTCGGCGCGCCGCACCATCCAGGCGGGCCCAGCTTTCTTGCGAGTGTCGCGCTCATCTGCACCGGACGCTTTTCCAGCCGCAAGGACACCTGCTCCGCCAGGGGCCGCCTCCTGCTCGGAGGCCTCGGCGGCCTGCACAGGCCAGCGCTCCTGGCTCTGAGGTCGGCGCTGGGGGGCACGGAGCGCAGGCACTGCCGCCTGGGAAGAAGTGGCGATCTGCACGGGCTTGGGAATCCACGGGTGGTCCCCGCGGCGCGGCAGCGGCCAGGCGCGAAAGTCCTTCTGGTACTGGGTCTCGCGCTCAAAGGGCGCGTCCGAAGGCTGGTATTCGCTCCGCGGCCGGCAGCTCGGCTCAGGCCGCTGCACCTTCCAGGCGCGGTAGTCCTGCCGCATCACCGAGTCCGCGGGACCCGCGCTGGAGGTGGAGCCGGAGCCAGAGGTTGGGCCCGGTCCGCTCCGGCCAGAGGAGGCCCCAGCCTCTCGTTCTCCGCTAGGCCCCGGCGCCAGCCCTGTTGCCCGGGCAACCGCATCCCCGTCGCCCTGGGCCGGCTGTGTTTCTATGGCGACCGTGCGCGCCGAGGGGGGCGCGGGCGCCGGCTGCTGGTGCGACGGCGGGGCACCCGGGTGCTCGGTGGCCTCCGAGTACTTGGTGAAAACCAGCGGCACGGCGATATCCGCCTTGTCCAGCTGGTTCCAGAAGCGGGCGATGCAGCAGGCTCGCGTGATGCACGGCCACGCCATGGTGCTCGCTGCAGAGCTCGCCCTCCTTCTTGCTGGATTCTAAAGCAAGTCCCTAATCTTCCTCAGTCCCCTCGACCGGCCAGTCTGGTTCCCACCTTGTTTTCCTTGGTGGCCTGAGCTACCGCGCCCTCCTGTCTAGAGAGCACCCGGGAAGGTCGGGCTGGCAGAGCTATCACTGAGATAAAAGTCGGTAAAGTCCTTCGATACCTTGCTATAAACGCCTCCTGGAGCCGCAGCACAGGTCTCGGGAACGCGTTCTGCTGCGGACGCCGCAGCGGGAGACACGGCGACCCGGGTCGCCGGCGAGGGCGTCTGGGACGCGCCCCTCCCTGCGGCTGCGGCGGCGCGCAGACCCCGGCCAAGCGAGGCGACGCGAGGCGAGGTGGCTGCAGGCTTAAGCCATGGCGCAGAGGAAGGGACGGGCAGTGCGGTCGCAGGGTCGCGGACAAAGCTCTCTCTTCTTCTTCCCGCCGGCGTCCAGTCTCAGCTAGCCGCCTAGCAAGGCTCGGAGGCAATCACCACTCGAGGAGACCGAGCATTGCTGCCGCCGCCGCCGCTCCCAAGGATGCTGCAGCCGCCGCCGCCGCCGCCGCCGTCTCTGCAGCAGGGAAGCGGCCCCACCCTTTTCTCCGTTCAGCAGAGGGGGGAAAAATCCAGGAAAGATGCTGAGAGAAAGAGCGCTGCGGGAAAAAAAATCACCTGCTGTCGTCAGCTAGCGCTGCTGGGAGCTCGCCTTCTCTCTTTCCCCTCCCTCTGATCTGGCAGCTCCTCCCTCTTCAGCTCCTAGGCAACCATGGAATCTGGGGCCTAGGTGGGTTCAAGTCTCAGGCTCCTTATGACTTGCAGTCTTTATTCTGGTTGCTTCGGGACTGGGAGCCCCAGGCTCCTCTTTTGTGAAATAAGGGTTAAACATGGGGGAAGGGGGAGATTCAATTTAAAAATACGGAGGAAACCCCTAGTGAGATGTCTGTCCCAGAATATATGTGTTTTGTTTTTTTTTTTTTAAAGGAGCTCCTGTTATTGGCCAAAATCTATGGCCTGAATTTGAACCCCTTTGGCTGGCTTCTGACCTAAGCACTTGTCAATCTTATGCACAGGCTTTGCTCATATGTGGAGTCAGAAAACTGCAGGCTGATGGTACCTTAGCTGTTCTCTTTCTGGGGGACCCTTTGCAGAGAGAGATGTCTTAGAATGTCCCAAGAACTACAGAGTCCCTGTTCAGCCCAGGGACCACACAGGAAGAGATGAAGTGAGAAGAAAATTCTCAAAAGGGGCCTAAGTGGGGAGTTTGGGGTGGGTGGGAAACAGCCAGATAGTATCCTGGGAAAGGGTGGGGCCTGACATGCAGTGGCTTTCTGCCATGTTCCTGACCCCTGGCCTTTGCTCTTCTTCTATCTGGGAGGCAGAAAAATTTTGGAGTCAGATGTTCCTGCTTTTGCTCAGACACTTACTACCTGTGTCACTTGGACAAGTTGAGTCATCCCTGGACTGCAGTCTGCTTACCTGGAGGAAATTATAGCTACCTCATAGTGGTTTTGTGAAGATAGTTAAAGACTCAAAGCTTTGAGTCAAATCAGATCCCAGAGGATTCAAATCCTGGCTTTTGCATGCCTTAGCTCATGGCCATGGGCACATTACTGCAAGTTTCATCCATGAATGAGGGTGCCAGTTCTCAACTCATAATGTTGCTCTGAGAATTAAAATGATCATCACTAAAAACCCTTGCCACAACATCTGGAATATGGCAATGGTTCAATAGATGGTAGCTATTAGTATTCACAGAACCCACCCGGGGAAACCCAGAGGTGGAGCTTCCCAAGCAGGCCAGCCTCTTGGATACATTCTCCAGCAAGACTTCTTGTTCTTCCAAGTGTCTCCTTGGGTATCTCCTTGCACTATCTTCCACTTCTGACTCCTAGCTACATTCATTGGCCTATAGCTCTGTTTCTCTCCAATACAGCCAGTTTTCAGCATCAGTTAAGTCAGGGGGGCATTGATATCTGTGGGGGGGGGGAAGTAATTTATGTGTTTAGATTGGGAATTGATTTTAAAATATAGCTCTTTTTAAACCTTAGAATCAAACACAATGAGAAGACAGCTCTGACTAGTCAATTAAATGCTGAACTTCCTCCTGTGTGGGTCTTTGCCTGTTGGTAACTTGATTTGAGTTCCACAAATAAAATGATGCCTGGCACTGTTTTCCATTCATTAGGAGATACATTTCTATAAACAAAATAATCTGGTCTTGCCCTTCCTCTCCCCAGTTCTGGAACTCCCTGGGATTTGGCTTATGACTTTCCAGTAACAATTTCCAAAGATAAAAAGATGGACTAGCAATTGGAGTTGGAAGTCATTAAGAGTCATGAGATTTTACCCTTCCTTAACTTAGATGCCCACTCTGTGCCTTGGGCCCTATGGAACACAGATGGGTTCTAGCTCGAGGGAAGCCCTCGATTACAGGGGTGTATTATGAAAGGACTGGGAGACTGATACATAAATAATTAGCAAATAGTATGGTCAACACAGAGGTTCATTCACAAGGTGCTGAATGAATGACTAATGATAACTGAACAGGAACTCTCCTAGTCAAGGTGTAAGCATTAATAAGAGTGCTCCAGGCAACTTCTTTAAGGGGCTTCCCTGGTGACTTAGACAGTAAAGAATCTGCCTGGAATGCAGGAGACCAAGGTTCGATCCCTGGGTTGGGAAGATACCCTGGAGAAGGGAATGGCAATCCACTCCAGTGTTCTTGCCTGGAAAATTCCGTGGACAGAGGAGCCCGGTGGGCTACAGTCCATGATGTCGCAAAGAGTCAGACACAACTAAGCGACTTTCACTTCTCACTTCAGGCAACTTCATCATCAGTATCACCTTCCACATACATTCATTTAGATTTTTAAAACACATTCAATTGTATAATCTCCTAGAACCATCTAATGGCCCAATGGGATAATCAAGTCTAATGGTTATCTGTTAAATAGATTGCTTAGCATCAATTCTGATGATAACAATACCTCATTGGTTGACTTTGGATATGCCTCATTTCTAATTTCAGTCCATATGATTTGGGTGGGGTTAACCTTACTTAGTCTACCTTCCAGAGCTGACTCTGTGACCCACACCCATTTACTAGGCCCTGCATCATTCTGGCCAAAGTGACTATAGTGACTGACACATGATCCATATTAGACCAGCTGGAGGAAATCCTAGACATTAGCTGAAACCACCCATAAAAAGCCACTCTCTTTTCCACTGAATTGTTACATGGGAGACCACGAGGCTACTGTTGTTAGTGACCATCTTTGCCATCACTGGGGGAGGCTGCCTGCCTAAGGCTGAAGCAAACAGAGAAAATCAGAAGAGGATGCAGGATTCTGATCATGTCAATGAAAAACTGCAATTTTTCCCCTGCACTCATTCTCTCCTTATATTCCTTCTAGTAGCAGAAACCTCCATGTTTTAGTTGGGCTCTTGTTTACCCAACCAGAGACATTTTCCAACTTACCTACAGCAAAGAGCAATTGTGTATACTTCCAGGCCACTTCCTTAAGGTAACTGTTTGGGTTCAACTTCATCTTTCTCCTTCCCATAGCATAGAGTGTGGACATGGTAGATGTAAAGTATTACCTGGGCATTAAGGGATAAGAAAGTTCTGGTGCCAGGATTTAGTCCTGGGTCTGGGAGGATAGAGAACAAAATAGAGGAAACTTGTCTTGGGTGACCTCCTAGAACTGAGCTCTCTCAGCAACCTTGGGCCACCTGCCTGCTTCTGCACCATCATGTGAGTAAGAAATGCATTTTCTTTTGTCTGAACCACTGCTCTGGGGTCTCTGTTTAGCTTTTTAGTCATTTGAGCATGTGGATCCGGTCATGCTTGAATTAATATGAGGTACATGAAAACAGTGTGAAACTAAGATACATGTAAGATGGGAAAGGGTGATCAGAGTTAAAGTATTCCAAAGTCCTTATTTGTTTGTGAGGAAGAGAGATATCGATTCATTTATTAACCTAAAATATTTTTAACTTAAAAATGCACATGGAAGGAAAGAAAAGAAGATATAGAAAACTTTATTAAGGCCTGCAAAAGGGCAAAACTAAGCAAAGAAAATATCTAGAAAATAGAATATAAGGTGGTGGGAATATTTCCAAGTATATCAGTGACCAAAGTAAATGCACATGATCAAAACTTTCCATAACGACTTCTCTGGCAGTCCACTGGTTAAGAATCGACTTGCTGGGGCTTCCCTTGTGGTCCAGTGGTTAAGACTCCGAGCTCTCAATGCAGGGGGCCTGGGTTTAATCACTGGTCAGGGAACTAGATCTCACACATAGCAACTAAAAATCCCATGTGTTGAAACTAAGACCTGGGGCAGACAAATAAATAAATAAAAATAGGTATTAAAAAAAAAAAAAAAGACTCCACTTGCCAGTGCAGAGGACATGGGTTTGATCTCTGGTCCAGGAAGATTCCGCATGCCTCAGGGCTGAGTCCACAGTGCCCTGGGGCCCATGCTTTGCAACAAAAGTCACTACTAGAGAGCAGCCCCCACTCACTAGGGCTAGAGAAAGCCTGCACACAGTAACAAAGACCCGCCCAGCCGAAACAAACACAAACACAAACTAAAACAACAAAAAACCAACAAAACTTTCCAGTTAAAAGACTGAGAGTGTCAGGTTGGAGAAAAACACAAAGCAAAATGCAACTAACACATTGTATGTAGGAAACATATTTGGAACAATGACACAAAAGAAAGTTGATACCATTATATTAACATCAGACAAAATGATCTTAAAACAAAAAGCATTATTGGGGATAAAAATGGTCATCATATAAAAATAGAAGAAACAATTCATCAGAAATATATGACCTAATTTGTATCTAACAATATACCCTTCAAAATACATACAGCAAAACTTGGTAGAATCTATTATTTATTTATTTAGGCCATGCTGGGTCTTCATTACTGCACAAGGACTTTCATCTAGCTTCAGCCAGCTGGGGCTACTCATTGTGGTGGACAGACTTCTCTTGTTGCAGAGCCTGGGCTCTGGGCTCACAGGCTTCGGTAGCTGCAGCTTGTGAACTCTACACTTGGGCTCAGAAGTTGTGTCACTTTGCTTAGTTGGTCTGAGGCATGTGGAATCACCCCAGATCAGAGATTGAACCAGGGTTCCCTGCATTGGCAGGTGAATTCTTATCTACTGTACCACCAGGGAAGTCCCAAAACTGGGTAGAATTTTAAGAAAAAAATGCACAGCTCCATAATTATAAAAAAGAGATTAAAAATTAACAA